CCCCAAAACCCCAAAACCCCAAAACCCCACGCCAAATAAATAGTTGAGAATTCTAGTATTCATAATATTAAAAATGAAATACATTAGTATCTTAATCTTATGTATCATGGCTGTGGCAGCCAATGTGTGCCAGAACGATGCCCAGACTGCAGGATCTCCTCTCTCTGGAAGTTTCGAAATGGCCGGACTTACATACGTCAATCTTCTGGATATTTTGGAAGACCAAGGCAATGAATTACTCTATTTCATTGGGCATTTTATTCCACCTCCATGGGACACAATAATCTACAAGTCGGACCCAGCCCTGGGCATAGTGCAAGTGATGACTTATGATATCTACTGCAACTACCTTTCCTACGCCATGTCTCCAAACAGTGAGTTCATCTATATCCAAGACTTGACTACGGGAAAGATATTCGAGATCAGGACTTCAGACCTGGTCATCTCCAGGGAGTTGTCAGTTAGCTCTGCCTCTGTGGATTTGAATTCAAACATGGAAGTGAGTGAAGGCTTCTTCTTCAGCCTCACCATTAGCTCAATCATGCACACTTGTAGATGGGATATGTCAAGTACCAATCTCAACTGATTCACTTTCGGAGTCAACAGTCAGGCCAATTTGGCCCCAATCAATGCTGATCTGCTGTTCTTTGGATCAACTGACACAGCAGCCGACCAATACTACCTGGTGAACTACAACTTCTCCTCCTCCAGCCTGGTCTGGAAGAAGAGCATTGCCTGTCCCACTTCGGGCTGAGTGAACAAATTCAGCAACTCCCTGGTGAGCAGAGATGAAAAGTGGGTTTACACAATGATACTGTACGATGGCAACTTTATTTTCCAAAAACTCAGCACCACCGATGGGAGTCCCCAAAGCTCAGGGCTGATTTGGAACGACAGTGGGTATTATACTAGTTACTGAATGAAAGAGTTCAGTGATTTCATTGCCTTTCAGATTCGCAGTACCTCATTACCAAATGATAAAAACTTGGTTCTGGTCTCTCCCTCGGCCGCAGAAGTTGTGAAGGAGTACAAGTCTGTGAGCTCGAGTGCTTTTGCAGTTGGAAGGTTGTTATATAAAGAGGAAGAGCTAATGTTTCATTCTGGAAGAATACCCACCAATAACACATTCTTCCTTGCAAGATCACCCACAAACAACATTGGACAACTTTCTGAGTTTGAAGAAGACACTCCTCTGTTCAGTCCAATTACCACAAACTATCAGGTGACTGCAACAGCATCTACCCCAAACATTACAACAAGTACTAATACACTCACTATCACAACTTCTTCAGTAATTACGACTACAGATATCACATCATCGACCAGTCCTTCATTTGCTAAGCATGTGGCTTTATGGAACTCAGACCTTATACAGTCAGTGCAGAGCAACTCTTCGGTCCAGTTGAGTTTTACCTGGGCCTGTGCTCAGTCAACAAATAGCACAGCCATAACTTTTAGTCTGAACCAGACTGGAACCAATGCAGTCCCAGATTGGGTAAATTTGGACGCTAGCAGCTTACAGTTAAATCTTACCACCACTCCCAGACTTGCCGTTGCAACAGTTTATTATTTTTCTCTGAAGATTGCCTTCAACAGCGAGGTTCACTACAAGAACTTCCAGATCACCGTCGAAGAGTGAACTATTGAACACTGAGATCTCTGACAACTGGGCAGCCCCAGTATTTGACAGACTTGTGCAGATGGCTATCAAAGCTCTAACGCAGGCACATCTTGTTCCATCATACCTAAATCAACTACACCAACTGAAGCAACTACACCAGCTGAAGCAACTACACCAGCTGAAGCAACTGCAGTAACTGGAGCAACTGAGACTACTACTGCACTTATTGGATGAAGTGTTGTGGCTGCTAGTGCTTCATCAATGATATCATTGTCGTCTATAAACTCAATATTTAGCCTTATGAACGGTATGCAACTGATATTGTTATTACCCATGGTTCCTGACTTCTTATCTCCTGTGGTCGAAGCTTATCTTAACGGGATAAGTTTTTCAATGCTATCTTTCGATTTCATTAATATCAAGGATCTGTGGTTTATAAGCGATGTTTCTAGCTCTCTTTCGTATCCTCAAACCGATAATTACCTGAATGATCTTGGATTGAGGTCAAAGAGCTCAATCGCGAATAATCTATCGTTATTGCTAGTTGTTGCTTTCTTTGGATTGATTCATTTATGAATTTATATAATGGTAAACTGCACTAAAAATTCAAAGCATCGGAAGTGGAAAAGTTTTATTGATAGGCTTTTCAAATTCTTCACGTTCAACATATACATAAGGCTGCTTATTCAGGCATTCCTGTTCCTGTGCTTATCCAGCTTCTCTGAATTTAGCGACCTCAATTTCAACTCTACTGTAGCCGAGGTATCCTTTGGGTTATGAGTTGTTTTAACAATATTTCTTATTGTGCTGCTTCTTTTATGATTTCATATGTACTATATATCATGCTCTCAAGCTGATCAAGATAAGTATTGGCAATGAAGTGAATATTTTAATGGAGTCAAGACAAATAAATACTCCAAGCTTTATTCAAGCGTGTACTTGATGACTAGACTTTTACTAGTATTATTTCTCGTTTTAGGGAAATCATTTAGCGCAGTTTATAGAGCTGCTTTTTTCTGCTTTATAAATGTTTCTTATGGAGTTTATTTGCTTACTTCCAGACCATTCGAAAGCACGCAAGATAGCATTATCGAGTGCTTAAATCAGACTTTATTCTCTTTCTTGGCTATTCCATTGTTGTGGTTGAATACAGAAGAAGCATGGACTTCATCCTATGAAATGTTTTATACAATTACATTTGTCTCTGCTTCAATGATATCTTCTATAATATGCTTCATATTTCTCATAAAGTCAATAATATCCTTTTGGAGGAAAAGGAAAGCAACGCATCTCCAACACAAAACGTCCCCTAAAGAGACGGCCTCTCCTCCAAGAGCACCCCAGAGTGAAGCACTAGAGACCCCTAGCCCTATGGCTGTATCAAAATCCCCCTTCCCAAAACCCCAGGTGCACAAACTTGCTATTTCACCCATCAAGACCATCCAAGTGGTGCCTTCTAAAAATCTGACTTTGGAAGAACTTAAATCTTAATACTTCTGACACCCCTAATTCATGCATAAATTTTAGGACGGTTTACCCATTTTTTACCTTATTTCAATCCTCTGTCAGACTTCTGGGGTTTTGGGGTTTTGGGGTTTTGGGG